TTGTGCATCAGTGGATATGTATCATACTGTGATCAAAGACCACCGTTTTCTCTCATGATGACTTTAATCTGCTGCAGCCCGACGGTGCACGGTGTATTAGGGGTCCTTAAAGAATTCCAGGACACAAGGGAACCCTGATGTTTCTATATTGACAGGTTCAGGCAACTGAGGTTCAATCATTGTTCTAGTCTTAGTATATTGTTGGCATCATAACAATAAACACTAGACTCACCAGTTCACTAGCCATGATCAGCACACCTGCCAGGTAGTCCTCTACATCCAAGTGAAAGCCTTTCTCTCGCACCACCTCGACTGTGGAAGAGAAATACAGTGAAGGGTAAAGTCGCACTCCTCAGTAAGAGTTACACACTGACACACAAACTGGTACCTACTGCCGAGTATCTGGGCAACTTCCTCTCGAGTCACAAGAGTTTCACTCTCCAGGTAGACAACAAAGGCTGATAAGAAAGCCAAGCGCTGCAGGACAAACCTCCAGTGTTCATGGAACCTAAAGTGGGTTCAAACAGATCAGAGAGCGATCAAACGCTGATACCATGACCATGATAATTCACTCAGCTTCAATTCTGCTTTCCAGAGAGTTCTGGGTCAAACAACAAGACTATTCAAAACATATAAAACAGTTAGCACAAGCTGCTGATCAAATGACTGTTATCAAAGGGGATCCCACGTTTTTTTGTACTTTCCTGAATGAAATCAAATTTACTTCAGAGAACATCGCTTATCGCACAAACTTGAATTTTTGATTAAGGGAGAGTGATGCCAAGATAAAAGCTCCAGCTGATTAATTCGATGAAAGCTTGATTAGCATTAGAAAGTCAAAAACTGAATGAGGCAGGAAACAAAATAATAAAATGTGACAAATTGAGAGCGAATGTGAAAGGATGACTCAGTACTATTGCTAGCAGAGGAAACTGTAGCCTAAAGAAAGGGTTGCAAAAGAAGATGGTACAGACACGGAGTTAATTTGTTTCATGAGACGAGCACACGATCTGTTCATTTCCCATCACATTGAGTGTGTACTGAATCCTACCGGTAATACTGCTCCACAGGGAATTTGGTTTTGAGGTCTGCAAGTTGTGTCCTGACTGTGCAGAACAACTCCCGCGCCTTTAGACATTTACTGGGAACTAATGGGAGAAAGGAAAAGGACTCATTTGAATGGTTGAAGAGAGGCCATCATCAGTCAGTACGTTAAAACAGCACACACTGCGTCAAACACTCACTTTCTTTGAATCCGGATGGCTGGTGAACACTTTGGAGCACTGTCAGTATTTCTCTGGCATTCTGCTCCAGTATCTGCACCACCTTACGGATATCCTGCAACAAAGTCAAGTCTTCTCTCAATATAACAGAACGGCCAAAAACAAAAGGCACATATGTGAAGGGATGTTTAAGAAGTGTGTTTGTGCCAATGAAGAGCGAATGTACTTTACCGGGGAGAAAGGAAGCTACAAGTGATACATCTTTTCAGCTCAGCCATACAGCAGTAATTATGCTACAGGTTCATTTAAATGAAGTCTGCTGTTACCCATCTCAGTGAAACCGGGCGGACTTTAACAGTAACATCTCAGTGAAACCGGGCGGGACTTTAACAGTAACTCTCAGGTAAACCGGGCGGACTTTAACCAGTAACATCTCAGTGAAACCGGGCGGACTTAACAGTAACATCTCAGTGACAGCAGCGTTGGAACAAAACACAACATAAAGTAATGTAACGTTAGTTAGTGTAACGTTTTAGGAAACCTGGGATGGCGAGTTATCGTAGTGAACCACCGAGCTCGCTGTTTCCACACAGACGAGACTTCTGCCGTTACAGTGTGTGTTGTGTACAGAGTCCGGCTCCGTTAGCTGCTAACTAACCAGCTACCAGGCTCCGGGAGCTAACGGTGCTAGCAGCCGTGCGACCGTCCGGTAACGTTACTTCATTCATAACGTTACCTCTCTGACGTCCTGGTCGGCGCTCAGGAAGCCCTGAATGTAACTGAACATCTCGGTGACAGACATCTGTGCTCAGAGTCCAGCTGTGCGGGTGATGATGATGAAGAAGAGCCGATGAAGAGCCGACTGCAGCTAACTCATATAAACACCAACGTGCACGAGAACCGTCGCTCCGCCTCCGCTGTGTGGCGCGTGGAGATGATGTCATCATTTGCAACGTAGTAGTGTTGTTGCCATAGAAATATAAAGTATATTATATATATATATATATATAGAAATATAAAGTAATGAATGAACTGTGTTTATCTTCTTATTTAAATCCTAAAGCAATCTGTTTCGCCCATAACATTAAAGTATTAAATAAGGAGCCAACCATATATATAATATATATTATATATACTATATAGGCTAATAGTAATTACTTATATTTATATATACTTTACATATTTATATAACTTTATACTTTATATACTATTAATACTATCTGATTATATTTCTCCCTATAGTATAATAATGTACTCAATTATACTTTATATTTCTCTAATATAGTCATATTGATACAATACTTATCATATTTTCTCTATAGTATTATCAACATATACTTTAATATTTATATATAATAATATACAATATACCTTATACTATATATATACCCTATATAAATATGACTTTTATATGTATCATACATAAATATACTATTATCATGCATATATATATATAAAGATACTTATATTTAAGACAATCTATATAATAGGTAAATAGGGGTCCACCTATTATATGCCTATACTATATACTAGCATATAGCTTTTATATGTATCGATATATATAATATACTTATATTTCTATATATATACAAGCTATACTTATGTATATTATACTAGTATTCCTAATATTCATGTATACTGTTTAAATGTATCACTATATATACGATATACTTTATTATTTACACTACTATAACTATACTCTGACATATATTTCATAATTTCTATATATACCTGTCAGACGTATATACTCTTCTGATATGTCCATATATAGGAGTAATATACTTTTATTTCTATATATACTCGATGAGGAGCCTTATATGTCAATATAATAATTATCACTATTAATATTTCTATATATACGCTCAAATATACCTTTATATGATATAGCGGGGACTATAGTCAACGTACCTACTAATATACCTTATATGTATAGTCCTAAATAGCTAACTCCCCGCGGACACTTATATATGTATCCACACATTATAGTAATATACTTTATAGCAATAATATATCAACATAATGGTATTATTTATCAACATTTATATATATATACTATAGTAAATTAAATACTTTATATTTCTATACTACTGTATTGGACTAAATAATAATATAATACTTTATATATACTATATCCATAACTATAATAAATCATACTATCCTCCTTATTATATTTTAACTAATGACATGTAGTATCACTTAAGAGTAAGGAGCATATAACGTTACCGCAAATTATATTATCTGATAGTAACATACGTAGATAATAAATATATAGATAATATACAGTAACTTTATGATATGTCTACTACCATATATCTATACAACACACCAAAATGAGTGCAAGTACTTTATATTTTCCTCTATATATGTATATGTTGATGTGGGCTACGTACTCCAATATATCTTTTATATTTCTATAGATAATATAATGATACTTAATATTATATATATATATATAATATAAATATACTTTATATTTCTAATGGGCAAAAACACTACTACGTTGCAAATGAGAATGAATTCATGCTCCACGCGCCACACAGCGGGTGGAGGCGGGAGCGACGGTTCTCTTGAGAAGTGCACGATTGGTGTTTATATGAGATTAGTGGCAAGTCGGCTCTGTCATCGGCTTCTGCTTATCGGGCTCTTCTTCGATCAAATTCACCCGCGGACAAGCTGTGACTCTGAGCAAGCAGAATGAGTCTGTCACCGGATTGTTGCAG